TTATTTTTTTCATAGTATAAAGTCTCTCTGGAATCCATACTATGCCTGTATCTTGACTTAAAGGCTGACACAGATATTTCTTTTCATTGTTATTTTGGCCAGGGCCCAAGCAAGTGAGAAAGAACCAGCAGGAAGGGATTCTGTCAGAAGTTGACAGATGCTGTATCATGGCCTTTTTGGTAGAAAAAAGGGTTTTTTTTTTCTCTGCGTTGGAGAAAAGGCCAGTTGAATTATTGAGAAGCAATGAGAAATGAAATTGACAGATATCTCTTATTTTTAAGCCAATAAAGACAGAAGTCCCAAGGTGTCACAAATATGAACAAAATGAAGACAAGACCCTTAGGCTTCAAAAAACAGAGACCAAACTTTTCAACTGCTCTAAAAATACTTCCACCCAACTTTCAATTATGTTTCAGAGGCTGGCAAGCGTTCGTATAGGCATTTCAAGCAAAAACAAGAAGAGACCTCTGAGATCCTCTCTCCCTGTTTTGTCCTCAAAATAACCACAGGCAAATATTCAGAATAAAATTCATTATGTATAGTCATTAATTATTCCTTTTGCTTCCTCTCGTTTTCTTCTGCATAATTATGGTTCATCTCTGTCTTCTTTTCTTGGGTGAATTAATTATGGAAACAAACAGCAGCTGGGGATTCAGTGACCCTCAATGTATGATACCTTTTCTGCCTGGGATGTTTTTATAAAGGTGTCGATTGGATTTATGATAGCCTAAAAATAATATTACAGAGAGATTGGTGTGCGGTAAAGCAAGACTGGCATTAAGGATCAGGATGGCTGGCATCTGCCAAGGCATTAAGGATCAGGATGGCTGGCATCTGCCAAGGCAGTGGCACCTCCTAGATTTCTTTCTTTTTTCTTTTTGTCTTGTTATTATCACTCGTTTATTTCTCTTATCTGTCCCTAAGGTCCAGAAATGAATATTAATGCTGATATAAAGGAGGACGGAGTGAGGGAGGACTTCCTTAATAGCTTTTTAAAATCTGCCTCCAGCCCTCATTGAATAAAAGCTATTTACTGCAATACATCCCCACCAATATCTCTAGGGACCCAACCTGCACAACCAAAATTATGACATTTAGGTCCCATGTATGGGAACAACCTGAAGTATTTATCAACAATGATTAGGAGCCTGGAGGGTAAAACATACAAAGAACAGTTGCAGGATTTGGGAATGGCCAGTTTAGAGAAAAGAAGGACTAGGGGGGACATGATTGAAGTGTTCCAATATTTGAGGGGCGGTCACAAAGAAGAGGGGATCAACCTATTTTCCAAAGCACCAGAAGGCAAGACAAGAAATAATGGATGGAAACTAATCAAGGAGAGAAGCAACCTAAACTAAGGATAAATTTCCTAACCATGAGGATAATTAACCAGTGGAACAGCTTGCCTTCAGAAGTTGTGGATGCTCCATCACTGGAGGCTTTTAAGAAGAGACTGGGCAGCCACTTGTCTGGATTGATAAAGGGTCTCCTGCTAGACTAGAAGCCTTCAACTTCAGTGCAGTTACAGTATTTTTTATTGACAGTTTTTTTTAATTACAATTAACTTTTGCAAAGCAGTTTCAACTCTTTGGAATGTTTCTTGGAGCCATGCTAAATGCAGTATCATCTCTACCTCTACCTCTATCTCTGCCTCTACCTCTACCTCTATTTCTATCTCTATCTCTCTTATTTCCATCTCCATCATCTCCAGCTGTATCTCTCTTCTATCCACCTATCTAACATTTAGGGCAAGAGAGGTCTGAATTAGGTTAGGTTAGGACCATGGGCTTTAGACTGATTCTGACTCTTTGCCCATATTGACTGCATTTCAAAACTGGATCCCTCTTGCCTCACATACCTACTATTTTAATGGAAGGAAAGTTTCCACATTCAAGTGACAAAATGCAACATGTCCTGTACTTTAGACTGGTCAACGTAATATCATTTTGCAGATGAAGAAGGATGGTAGAGTTTTAGAGAAAGTAATCCAAGAGATATTAGAGTGTGGTTAGGGTATATTGTATATTGTTTTTTTGATTGAGTAACATTATATATGCAATAGGCCACATGAGGTCCTCCAAATTTTGGACTTCAACTCCAATCAACTCCAACCAGCAATTAATGAGGAGAACTTGTGGAAACTATAGCCTGTGGCTCAGGAATTCTGGGAGTTGGCTCAGGAATTGGCTCAGGAATTCTGGGAGTTGAAGTCTACAAGTCATAAAAGAGCCAAGGTTGCCTACCCCTAGCCTAAGCTATCTAGAGAACATTGGTTTTTTATGACTCAGGGAAAGTTAAATTCTCATAGGAAGCAATGGAAGCAACTACTAAGGTTATTTCTTTCCATCCAGGATCTGCATGAAAAGATGATGCAATCCTATGGCAGTATTAGAATAAAATCTGACTAATGTCAAAGGAAGTAGTTAAAGCTGTTGCAATCATAATGCTGATTGCTGAACTTTGTAGCAATGGGCCTTTAAATCAAGTGGCTGCATGGATTAGTTACTATAAAAAGTATCAAGGAGTTTCTTGGGGCCTTGCTGGGTGTATATTCTTCCCTGGGAAAGGTATACCTTTGTTTATCTGCTAACTCATGGAGGTGAATTATCAGTAGGACTGCTAATCACTTTGATTTGATTTAATAGATCTTTTTTCTTTAAAAAATAAGCCATCGAAAGAACATCTGCATTTTACATATCCAAACCAGGAGGATTGCTAAAAAGTTTGTCCTGAAATAATCCTTTAATCTGTTTAAAATCCCATTTAATTTCTTTTTAGGTTTTCACTTATTCACATCACATGTTTTGCTAGCCTAAAGAATGTACCCCTCACCAATTATCTTTTTGCATGTGTATATTGAGTTTTATCATGATTTCCGTAGAGTGGTTTAATTAGAATGCAAAACCAAGAAAAGGTGTGGGGACCATTCAGGCGAAGCAATTACTTTTAGATCCAACAGATGAGTAATTTCATAGAAGATGATCTGACCTCTCTAAGTCATTTTGCTTGTGAAGTGCATCGTTAATGCTGCATAATTGAAATGACACCTCATTGCCGCAGGATATTTTCAAGACAGAGTCAGTACATAAGAATCAAAGTGGAAGGCAGGAGATGTGATAGGATTTTTGTTTTGTGTTGTTTTTTTTAACTCAGAACTCTTTATTCTGGGATTTCTAAAATGAGATTTAAGCATTTTATCCATATTCCATTTTCATGATGGAGTTCCATGGATTGGAATGACCACCCTGGCTGGGACAAGATGATCTCAGAGTTGCACACATTTATTTAAAAGGTGGTGTTTGCAGCTCACAATATGCTTTTGGCTGTTGTGGAGGTGAAAACACCAGCTCTTGTAGGTGCTCCTGGCACCCACATGGTTCTTGGGGGAGAAAAATACCATAGTCAGATATCATTTGAAGCCTCCCCCGAATTGGGAAAAGCCTGTGCTGGTTCCTGGGACAATTAATTTATCCCATACTCACTGCCCTGGAGGCACAGTGCTTAGAATGCAGTACAGCAGGCTAACTCTGCCCACAGCCTGCAGTTCGATCCTGATGGGGCTCAAGGTTGACTCAGCCTTCCGTCCTTCCAAGGTCGGTAAAATGAAGACCCAGATTGTGCTGGCATTGCAAAGCACTCAGAGAGTGCTATAAAACACTATGGGGTGGAGTATAAGTCTGAGTGCTGTTGCTATTGCTGTTACCCTAATCCAGGGCAAATCATGACAAGCAAATGGGCAATGCTGGGGAGAAAGGATATGAAGGCCTACACCAACCGGGTCTGAAAATTTCAACTGCCTCATTTAAAGTGAAAATTGTTGGTAACACTCAGCTTTGTTTCCAAATTGTACTGCCTCAACCTCCTTTCTAAAATGGAAGAGAGTCATTCTCCATGCTGTAGCGCAGGAAAACTATGGGTATAATTGCATAGGCCCTCCAAACATTACAGGTAGTCCTTAACTTACAACCATTCGTGCAGCGACTGTTCAAAATTACACGGCACTGAAAAAAAGAGACTTATGACTGTTTTTCACACTTATGACTGTTGCAGCATCTCCATGGTCACATGATCAAAATTCAGACGCTTGGCCACTGACTCATATTTATGATAGTTGCAGTGTATCTCTGGGTCACGTGATCCCCTTTTGTGACCTTCTGACAAGCAAAGTCAATGGGGAAGCTGGATTCATTTAACAACTATGTTACTAATGTAACAACTGTAGTGATTCATTCACAAAACTCAGTTAACAACTGTCTTGCTTAACAACAAAAATGTTGGGCTCAATTTTGGGTTTGTAAGTACCATGGAATTTAAAGATGCATTCTCTGTTTCTTTTTTTTATGCAGCAGAGCAGGAGAGTCTAAGGCAGGGGTAGGCAACCTTGGCTCTTTTATGATTCATGGACTTCAACTCCCAGAATTCTTGAGCCAGACATGGCTGGCTCAGGAATTCTGGGAGTTGAAGTCCACGAGTCATAAAACAGCCAAGGTTGCCCACCCCTGGTCTAAGGGTTTAGCTGGTCTGTAATGTTTCTTTGCTTTAGGAGAAATTAGCCCTTCTTTCCTCAACTTTATCATTCACCACCTGGCCTGACATTTAAAAATATTATTTTACTTAAAGGCTGAGTGCAGCATTGGCCAGAATGGGTTCTGGCATGATGTCATCTGCCCTAAAGCAAATATTGACATTCGTCAGATATCATTTCTGATTATAATAGAATAACAGAGTTGGAAAAGACCTTGGAGATCTTCTAGTCCAACCCGCTGCTCAAGCAGGAGACCCTATACCATTTCAGACAAATGACTGTCCAATCTCTTCTTGAAAAATCTCCATGGATGGAGCACCCATCACTTCTGAAGGCAAGCTGTTCCACTGATGAATTGTTCTGTCAGAAAATTTCTCCTTATTTCTAGATTAGTTCTCTTCTTGATTAGTTTCCATCCATTACTCAAGCCTCCTTTTCTTTCTCCCTCTCTCTCTCTCTCTGCCCTTTTTTGCAGTATGGCATTAAGAAGAAGGAGGAAAGAGAAGCAGAGGCCCAAGCCGCTCTGGAAGCAAATGCAGAAGGCAGCCTGACGCGCCCAAAGAAGGCCATCCCACCGGGCTGTGGAGACGAGGATGAGGAGGAAGAGGAAAGCATTCTAGACACCGTTATTAAATACCTGCCAGGTCCGCTCCAGGATATGTTTAAGAAGTAAACTGCGACAGACTGCCAGCCTGTCCATGGACAGTAAAGCAATGGATTTCTCATTGTGACCAATGGGGAATTTAGACTTACCACCACCTCTCACGCCCCCTTCCCTTCCCATGCTCTGCTCCAGTCCCCAGCCATTCCCTTGAGCCCTCCCCCCTCCCTTCCATTCCTGATTTGGTACATCCTCACTTCTAGACGATGCCTCTAAAGGGATGGAAAAGATTAATGAGCTGCGGTCTACACAACTTTTTATTCTTCTTCTTCTTATTATTATTATTCTAAAGCCATAGTTTTACATGTGTTTTTAAACAAAAGGGCAGGTGTTACCTTAAACAGAGAAAGGGAGAGGGGCACTTTTGGTTTGCCTCTTCCAGCCAAAAAGTGAGCTATAGGTTGCTTCTCCCAGCCCAGGAAGAGTTCGGTCTAACAAGGAATTAGGCTGTCCCCATCACAGCATAGGAGAGAGAGAGAGAGAGAGAGAGAGAGAGAGAGAGAGAGAGAGAGAGAGAGAGAGAGAAGAGCGAAGATAGTCGTTTTTTTTAGTTCCGACAGTCTCTGAAAAAATAAAACCCTGTTTCAGTACAAGTAGTCCTCGTTTAGTGACTGCCTTGTTTAGTGAGCAATCACAATTACAGCCGTGAAAAAATAACTTTGCAATCAATCCTTGCACCTGTGGTCTTTGCAAGTTTGTAAAGCAAAAGAAAGCTGAAGGAAGATTGTAAGCACAGTTGCAGGTTTACTTAACAACCACTTTGCTTAACAACAGAATTGCCGGTCCCAATTGCGGGTTGCTAACGAGGACTAGCTGTAATTTTTGTGAGGCCTATCAAAATGTTTGCCTATGTATTTTCCTTTCCTTTCCTTTCTTTTTTATTCTCCCTGTACTTCATGGTTTTGTTTGCCCTCAGGGACATCATCACATACCTTAAGATATAAGACTGCCAAATATCTTTTTTTTTTTCTGTCACTTTCTCTTACACACATATTATGTTTTGATTCCTGATTGTCTGGGGTCATTAATGCTATTTCTCCGTGATGCATCATCCTCAGTCTCAATTTAATTTGTTGCCCCTCCTATTGTCACGGGGGGGGGGCAACTATTGATCAGTGTCCCAATTAGTATGATATCTCTTCTAATCATCTTATGAGCTTAAGTTCAGAAAACTGAAGTAGAAGTAGAAGCCAGAATCAGATAGGAAGAGAGAGAGAAGGCAGAGCATCTGGCAAGGGGGTGGTTGTGACTTCAGAAAGAAAAATTGAATATTCTCCAAAATACCACTCCGAGAGAAATATCCATCTCCATCAAATAACCTTTTTAATCACAACATGGGTGACTATTCAGCTTTGTCTTGATCTTCTACATGAAAAAAATCAGTAGTTTATATGGCAAGCGATGTATACACATTTTATGGAAGAGAATAGTCAGAAATATTTTCTGCTCCAAGTGTATGTGGGATAGACAGGCCCACCTGTACTTTTTCAAAGAATCAAACCTCTCAAAATCATTTTTGGCAACCCACTTTTACTGTGAGAATAGCCATAACAAAAAGGAATCCATTTTAAATCTAAAAGCTGTTTTCACTTCCTACAGCTTGCTTTCGCCTTTTAGCATGCTCCTAGTAGGACCATGAACGGCTTTGGGTTCAACTCTAAAAGTTGGCAACATTCACAGGAAGGGATCCTTTCAGTCAGTCTGAAGGAATTAGCATTGTGCTGACCCACTTCAAGTCCTGCACCTGATCCTGGGTTGTGACATTACACACATCTCCAGCAAGAGGCCCCTTTTGTAATTTTGATGAAGAGAGGAGGTGAGGCCACCCAGCGCTAAAAGGGCATTTACATAATCCTGGGGAAAAAAATAATCTGGTTTAAGATGTCATAGGCAAGTAGAGTGTCCAAGCTTCTGCAGGTTCAAAATTACTTTTTGACATCAAACACAAAACACCACAAAGCTAGGGTTACCAGATATCTGAACAGATGAAGGAAGACACTGATAATTGGAAAGGAAGGGAAAGAACAGATAATTGGAAAAGCGGGAAAGGAAGACAGATTAACTTTTATTTTCTTAGCATCCACAAAAAAAGAATTAGTGCAGTGATAAGCTGCCAAAAAACAAAAAAGACTTTCCCTTACATGTATATAAAATCACCTTTCTCAGCATCAGGAACACCCTTTCTTCCAATCCCCAAAATGGGCTACAGCCCATTAAGAGGCAAAAATGTTCAGCAAGTAACTGATTAAGATCTTGACAATTTAAGAAGCAGCACAAGCCCAGGAGGCAATTAACAAACTAAGGTCATAAAACTGTGCTTGTTAACTGGTTAGCACTTATTAGAGAAACTGTTCTTGGAAGAACAGGTGCTGAAGCTCAAATACTTTGGCCATCTAATGAGAAGAGAGAACTCATTGGAAAAGACCCAGAGGTTGAGAAAGATAAGGTGACAGCAGAGGATGAGATGGTTAGATAGTGTCATTGACATAGTGAATATGAATTTCGGCAAACTGGGAGACACTGGAGGATGGGGGGGGGTTGGCATGCTATGGTCCACGGGATCATAAAGAGTCAGATACAACTTAGTGACTGAAAAACAACAAAAACAACAGGCAGAGAAAGCCTGTTAGATAGTTAAAAAGCCAATATTTTCTTTTAAGGCTATGCCTGTTGGATAGAGGACATTGAACGCAGAAAGACAAAAAGGAATTAATGTCCTTCTTTTGTTGGACAGCTGGTAACTCTATGCAAGCTCTAGTTAACAGGCAGGTAGAGTTATCCTGTTAAAGTCCTCTCTTTTTTATTTTAGCATAGGGTGTTAGCTACTAAAGTGAGTTATGAGAGGCATAGCTTCTTAGAGGTGTTAAAAGCTTCTTCATTGAAGTTTGAACTAATCCTAAAAAAAAAAAAAAAAGTCCTTTAACAGTTTAAAACCTGGGATCAATTTGTAGGCTAATATTCCATGTCACCAGTTACAGAGAAGCAAACATATTCCAGATAAACATATTAGTTATACTATTATTGTATATATACAACACATAAACTTCCATCCAAAGAGAAGAAAAGTAAGTAAATGACAACAATGGTTAATACTGTTTCAGAGAGTCCAATTTGCATTGGCTTATATCAGATATCTTTTACATACTTAGGCTGCCCATAGTAATAAAAATCCTTGTTTTATATCTGATAGCCACTTACTGAAACTAAGTAGATAAAGTAGATAAAGCTTGGTTCAAAATTAGGGAATGGCTATAGGTTAGTAGTTCAGCAATATTATATCTATTTTTATTTTATTTTTTTACAATCCCAAATTCAGATCCTTACTTTTTAATTAAGAATATTTGTCTATACAGTTCGGTGCTATCTCATGATCATCTGGATGTTTGTAGCCCAGATTTGGCAGAACTGCAAAATATTTCTCTGCATTGCTTCTGTTCTCTAGTGGTTTTGGCATCAAGTCAACTGTCAGTAATCCTGCCCACGATCAGAACTGGAAAGACCAATATTAGCCCCTTGAAGCTGATGTGATCAGGGAACCACTTTAGAGTTTGAGTAGAAAATTATCAACTGAAATAGATTCTTGCAATGTTTCCCAAACTCAGCAACTTTAAGATGTGTGGACTTCAAATCCTAGAATTCTCCAGCAGCATGATGGCTGGAGAATTCTGGGAACCGAAGTCCGTGCTTCTTAAAGAGGCAGAAATAGAGAATCACTTAGCTATTATAACAGTGTCTTACAATCCTGATTATGTTCTTTCCTTCCCTCCTTATTATATCCTAGGAATCAGGGAGGATTCAGCTTAATCCTTTCCCTGTTTTTGCACAGTTTGTTGTAATCATTTCTGAATAGTTTCCTCAAGGTTTTCTTGGTGTGTCCCTATATCTGGCCTACACCCAGTGGGGAAAGACTGTTATGTCTACTTTAGAATGGGAATCAGAGCAGGACCACATGATCTGCAGCATGATATGATAGTGTCACTTTTTGTTGATATGGCTGTATGACTACAGCCTATGTAGGGAAGACAGATGTGGGAAATGTATATCAGATAGAAGAAATGTATTATTACATTTTTAAAAAACCCTTTCCGTATATGTTTATTTTTAACTAAAAAAAAAAGCAAAAAAAAAAAGCAAACATATCTGGGAGTCTCTTGGTGTCCCAAAGTGAAATATTTGGTTTGGGGGAGCCTTCTACTAATTTCCTACACCCCCCCCCATTAGCCAAAGTAACATTATGAGGACCCAGATTGTTGGGGGCTCTGTAAACCACTTAGAAAGGGCTGTAAAGCACTGTGAAACGATATATAAGTCTAAGTGCTATTGCTAAGTGCTATTGCTACATTGCATAATGGGCTACGTATGGCAATAAACAAAGTGAATAATACAGCTTATTAATGGGTTTTAAAGAAAGCATGAATGCTCAAAACATATTTTGAGTCTTCCTGATGTCAATAATAAAGCATAGTGGGGAATCATCCCAGCAAATTTTGTCAGGAAATAATGTGCTTAAGTGATGAATGATGTAGCCATATTGAAACACTTTTATTTTAAATTATAAAGATATTCATTATTGACATTACAAGGTTGAGCACAGCATTCCCAAAAGGGGAAGGGGAAGAGATCATTGTACTGTTTTCTTTTAATCTGCAATCTTGTGAAAAGAGAAGTCAATTTCCAAGATGGGAAACATTTGGGCAGAATTTCCTTAACAGTTTTTCCAAATCCTTTATATGTGTTGACATTACAACTCATGGAATTCTGAATTAAGAATTAGTCCCACTTAGTTGTAGTTCTATCAGTGACTTGGTTGGGGAAATAAATTTTTCATTTAGATATTTCCTCAGTCACTTACAATAGGGGTTTTCTACCTTTTTCAGGCTGTGTTACTTAAACAAAATTTAACTTTAAAAACTATTAGTTTTTTTAAAAAAATAAATAAATAAATCTAGAAATCCAGATAAGGAAACAAGGTTCTGGTGACGGAAAAATGGTTGCATTCAAATTTTGTTTTTTTATTTTATTTTATTTTATTTTGCCTTTAGTGTTAGAAACTATTACATTCTCATAGAACTCCAGAACACAGTTTGAAAACTTATAACATTTTCCATTACAAGTTTTAACAGGTAGTTTATAGAAACCATTACAAAAAACATTTTTAAAAAGCCCAGTGTTATCGACAGGAGCACAAATACATACAATGCAGCTACCATTATAGAGAACAACATTCTAGGGCTACGAATCCTAAGGTCAAGAATGACACATTCCTTACCAGCTTTTCAAAGCAATTGGGACCCACATAATTTTTATTCCTACAGAGTAATTCTTCAAAGGATCATTGAAACAATCTAACCCTTTGGGCCCAGCAACCTCATCCCATTAAAAGGAAAGGCTCAATAGATGCCTTCATGACAATGAGGTGATCTGCCCAAAATTATGCAGCCATCTCTTAATTTCAATGGATTCTTAATATACTCAGATGGGGGATTATCAAGTGACAGCTGCATTGCTTCATGCTTCTCAGTTCAGCCAGCAATTTCCAAATTCAGCATCTTTTCCTATTTTTCCAGGCTGGCACAAAGCAGTTACCCGACTTTATTTCCTTCTTCTTCCTTCTCAGATTTAGTTGAAGGCTCAGACTGCTGAAGTTTTATCTTTAGTATGAATACAAGCAGCATCTTTCCATGTACTATTTTAACTGATCTGAGCTCCCCACAAGAATCTTAGAAAATGAAATTTTGCAAAGATGAAAAAAGAGTTTCTGATTAGCTTCCTGGTGTACTCTTCTTACCCAGAACTACAGTTCTCAAAAGTTACCTTTAAATCCATTTAAACTTGTGAGTGAGCATGTGCCCTTGGTTGTTTTTTTTTTTTAAAAATGTATCCAGGCATTCAGAAAGCCTAAGCATGGACAGACATTGATGTCTAATCCCTATTCCTTTCACACACACACATCCAACTTTGCCATCTTGATGAGGATGATATAAAGGAAAACTCAAGCCATATTCCTATGACCACAATCAAATGCACTCTATGATCAGCAGATATGCCCAATCAGGGTTCTTGGCTGTGCAAATCACATTCAGCAAGATTCAATTCAGATCTTCCCTGTCGTTAAGATCAGATTGGAGGTAGAGGAAGTAGGGCTGACTTGGATCAGATATCCCTGCTTTTCCTCCATGCTTAGAATTTTAATTGCCTTGCCAAGGCTAAATTTCATAGCAAATGAATATTTGATTGCTGTTCTTCAATGCCTGGCCATTCATCTATACAACTCTTCCATTTTCTAAATTAAATAAAAAAAATAAAAAGAACAATTTAAACACAGCAGCAATCAGTGAGATGGGCAAATTTGCTTTCAAAGATGATGAATTCCCATGAGTCATCACCAAATTCTTACATGATTACCCAAACAGTATGAGATTTGACTAGTTCATGTAATTTCAGGCAGCTGGGAACATTGCTTTGTGTTGGAAAAAGTCACCATCTTCTATTGTATTGGTGCAATCCAGGTCTTCTCCAGCTATGCTCATCTGTGTATTTGGATTAAAATCAGTCAGTCCTTGCCAGATGCAATCAGTTTTGCCTGTTGCAAAATCCAATTTGTCTAAGGCAGAGGTCTCCAAACTTGGCCCTTTTATGACTTGTGGATTTCAACTCCCAGAATTCCTCAGTCAGCATGCCTGGCTGAGAAATTCTAGGAGTTGAAATCCACAAGTCATGAAAGGGCCAAGTTTGAAGACCCCTGGTCTAAGGGTTGGTTTCATCCTTCATTAACATAAGAAATATATTATTTTATTATAGTTTAAAAATCAAACCTGTGACAACCAGCTATAATTCCTATCCATATACTAGTGTTTTGAAACTGCTTTGATTTGAGTTCATTTTGGAGCTTCTGAAACAGATCAGCTTGTCCCTGCTGAAATATAGTGAATATTAGTTATGATTTTATCTTGAGTCCAATAGGATTTAAAGCCATATTCTTTTTTAAAACAAATAAATGCATGGTAGATCACTGGGGAAAAAAAAATAGGATTGGAAAAGAAAGCTGAGCTAATGTATTTCTCTTAAATTAGCTCTGTTACAGTAGGCTTAGAGACAAGCTACAACAAAATTATAGGATGGGAACCTTTCAGGACTGTTCTACTTCAAGCATTAAATAGGTCTAGTTTCAGTGTTTTCCTATATTAACTTATTCACCATCGGCATATCAAAAATAAGGAAATCAGGAAAAAAATATCATTTGTCCGATGTGCTACTTTTTAGCATGCAAGGCTTTTATTTTTTAAAAAAAGTTTTTCATTTTTTAAAAAATGTATTTCTTCCATCCCATACAATCTGAACCGAGAAAACAGACCCTGGACTGCTGAATGTGTGGTTTATAACTGAAAGCAATGCCAGTTTTGAGGGGTTGTCTCCCTCAATGTGACTGTAGTTGTGTGAACACAATTATAATGGGCACTTTCTACCTTGAAAAGAAAGATCAACAAAGTCCCTGGGATCTCACCTTTTAATTGGTATAAATGTTGGGACCATTTCTGGAAACGCTGACGTCTAACACCCAGCCAGTCATTAAGAAGACCAAAGAGAAGCGTGATTCTTTCCTTAGATTCTGCATATCTTTTTGTTCCTCCGGAATACATAACATTTTTCAACATTTATTTTGGTTTTGAAATTCCATCATGATAAGTTCTATCTCAGGTACAAATGCTTTTCATTGATTACACAAGTTTGGACAGTGCCCTCATTTCTGTGTTGTCTCCCCTACATCTCTGTTTATCTAAATATAAATAAAGCAGTGTATTAATTCCTTTAGGGGTTGGGAGAAGCCAAGGGATCAGCTAAGTTTGGCAGTGGAGCTTCATGAATTTGCATTTATCCTTAGAGAAAGCCATATAAAATCAGACTGCAATATTAAATCACAATGCTATTCTATGTTTGAAACAAAGAAACAAACAGGAAGCAAAACCTTAGATTGTGTGCTATATCACTTTGGGAATTTCCATCTCTGTTTCCAGGACAATATGTTAGCTTTGTTTCCATCTGCCCTAACTTTCTACCAAGAAACAGCACTCCAACGACGTTTAATGCATTCTTCCAAACAGGCTCTTAGAACATTAGAATCAATCATTAGGAATCTGTTGTTGTGAACTGAATGTAATGTCCTACTTATATCTGATCCTGTTACCTCTGTATACGTTTGACTCTGTGTTAACTGCGATTCCCGTTCTATGTGCTCAGTCGGCAACATCTTTCAGTCAATGTCTTTTTAAACCATGCTTGTTTTCACACTCCACTTATGTAATAAACAGAGCAGAACATGTAATTAGGTGGGCATTTTCTAATAAGGGGGGGAAAGCTCTCCTTTTCTTCCCCCCTCTCTCGAATGCATGCAGCACCTTCCAAATCAACCAGAAGGTGACTTCAAGTAGAGACTTTGTGAATGTAAATTTTGTTTGTAACTTGCCTGCTACCTTTTCCTGCATGATGTGGGTTCAAATGGTACCATGTTCTTTTCAAATGGAGTCACAGCCAATAAACAACAACAAACAAGCAAACAAACAGTAATAATAAAAGTGATTACATACTCTCCTCCTCCCCTCCCATCTCTTCCTGTGAAATGCCTGTTAGAAAATGGGATGATGGACCTTTCTGTGCATTGCTAGGCTGCAAAATGCGGTTTACTAACAAAACGTCACTTGACACAAAGTTGTAGCCAACCCTAGTTGGCCGATGCATAAGCCTATATGAAATGTGACAATTCAAATATTTTTTTTTCTTAGCCATGCATTGTATTTTCAGATTTATCTGAAAACTGAATAATTGATCTTATCCAGAACCAAAGGCACTGAAAGTTAAGTCTGTGCCTGAGAATAAATGAGTGTCAAATGAGTGTCTGACTGAAAGCAATTACAGTGTGTTTAATAAGCAGTTAACTAAACTACCTAGAACTAAGGTAAGAGCAATTAACCAATGGAATAGTTTGCCTTCAGAAGTTGTGGGTGCTCCATCACTGAAGGCTTTCAAAAAGGGACTGGACTACCATTTGTCTGAAATAATATAGGGCCTCCAGCTTGAGCAGGGGGTTGGACTAGAACAGTGGTTCTCAACCTGTGGGTCGGGACCCTATTTGGGGTCGAACGATCATTTCACGGGGGTCGCCAAACAACGCAGTCTGCCATTTTTCCCCCTTTTCCTTAGCTGTGCTACTCCCTTTTATTCTATTGGCTTTTGAAAGCCAATAGAATAGACTCTTTTGAATAGAGTCTAATTCTATTAGCTTTCAAAAGCCAATAGGAATTGTCCAGGCTGTCTCTGCCCTGCTGAGCCCACCAAAAGTCCCATTCTGCAAACGGTGCTGCACCAGTTGAGTAGTCCTCGACCGGTTGAGTAGTTCTCGACTTACGACTGGTTGGGGGGTCATGGCATTAAAAAGGTTGAGAACCACTGGACTAGAAGACTCCAAGTTCCCTTCCAACTCTATTATTCTATGTTCTAAAGGAATCTATGCAAACATGCAACTGAATATGGATTAAACTGTACACACCATTTCTGGTCCCAGTTCTAGTCTGATTTTGTGCACAAGGCTTCCTAGCTCAAGACAACATCACCATGAACTTCTGCTTAGGCCAGGGAGTTGAAGTCCAGAAGTCATAAAAGAGCCAAGGTTGCCTACCTCTGGCTTAGGCAGTAGATTCAAGGCAGTAGATTCAATCAGATGATGTCTTGGCTTCAAGCAAGACTTAGTGACATCACCACTTCAAACTAAGTTGTTGTTCCAGCCTTCTTTCCTCCACATTGCTATAAGGGAGAAGTAGATAATCTGTAGCCCTTAGGCCAGTTGTGGTGCCCATCCACTTTCTTTCTGCTTCTTGGATTTTGCCTTCAGGAATGAGGTCTCTTACTAAAGTATGGTAGGAAAAGAGATGAATTATCCTAAGCCTTTTATTACACTTAATTCCCCTTAAGCGACAGCTCAAATATGATTTAAAAGCAACCAACCAAAAACCACCTTGGAAAATTGTCATTAGCATTTTTCTGGATTTTTCAAATCAGTTCTCAGGTTAAAATATATGTGTGCAAACATTGATATGTTTAGCAACAGTGCACAGCAAACTGTGTGCAGTCTTGGAAAAGAAGATTAAAAAATGCATTAGATTAAGAGAAAAAAAATGTAACTGTTGCCAAGTAGGTGTATCAGGGGAAATGCATCTGAAAATGTGTACTTTTTTTTTCCTTGCTCAAGGGAAAAAAAATCAAACTGGTGCAAAAGCATGACAAAATGAACACAAGATTACACAAATGAGAAATTAAGAGAAAACACATACATGCACAGAGTAAATATATATAATAAAGGGCAGGCTAACACTAAAACTAAAATGCAGCATAAACATTAGCTGACACAGTTTGCCAACTGACAAAGGCAAAAAAAAAAAAAACCTGATTCTTGTGCCTTTAGTAATTATACCCTGCACATAAAATATTCAGAGCCCTTTCTTTCATGTCTAGATAGAAAAGGGGAGGTAGAAGTGAAAAATTGGTTTGAGCATGTCAAGGTGAAGAGGTTAGCTTTTAGTAGGCTTTTAAATTCATCAACTTGACAGATACCAAGAAATTTTCAAAAATATATTTAAAAAAGCAAAGTGAAAGTGCACATAAGAGGAACAGGAGGTTAAATAACAATCCTGTGTTTGTGTATAAATGAAGGAGGGAAAGGCAACATGCAGTTCTTAACAACCGGGTGACAAAATCTCCTACAACATCACTGGTGCACAGTGTTAATGGAATGCTTGTTTCAACATTCCATTTCTTTGAATTGATAAAGATGGGATTTTATTTGACTGGTGGAGAAAATTGTCCAAGGTTCTCCAACAGGATTCAGATAGAAAAGCAAGCAGTGAGAGGCCACCCTTACCTGCGACTCACCTTAAGTCATAGATCCTGGACATCATTAAAGACATTTCTTTTTACATTACTGTGTACAAAAGTTCTTTCCATTTCAGATGTCAAAAAAGCTTAGGAAGTCTCAGTCATCTGTATCTCCTCCCTTAGACACACAATCACACGCACAGCCAATTCAGTGGTCTTCAGAACTGACTCTAAGGGCAGATATTGTTTTTTCCATGCTGTGTGCTGGAAATGGTGGGAGGTCATCAAATAACTTCATGGCCAGGTGTTTTAGTGGCATTATGTTGTTCCTCAGATCAAGCTGTATCTTTGTAAAGAAACAGGTGGGAAGACTGAATTCATTTTGTCACACTTACCTGCGCTTATGAGTAAATGACAAATTCTACACTCAAAAGTAACTATTGGCTTTTTCCCCCATGAGCAGCCGCTTCATTTAGACAGAAGCCAGAGAACAAATATCTGGTTCATTTTTTAAGATGTTTACAATTCTCGGGCTTCTTCTGGACATGCAAAGTCATAGACCAATCTATACAGCCCAGCTCTAGTTTAAATGAAAACTAGCTCTTCAGAACTGCCAGCTTCTGCAGGTGAGATGTGTGAACGAGACTAAAGAGGAACAGGATTTAAAGTGTTAATCTTCGAGTCTGCCCATTTGAGGTGTTTCTTCTTCCATAATGAACCTGTCAAGACTTACAGATCAGGATAAAAAGGCCTTCTGGAGATTCTTGGCTTTCAGAATATCATTTATGGGCATATAGGGAAGGGTTATGAAATGCACATTTTCAGAAACTGAGCTTGATCCCCACTCTCTGCATTTAAAAGAGCAGCCAAGCTGCATCTTTCCTATAAATCTATTCCAAGTCAAAGCAATAATTAAAACATAATATTATTGTATTAATTAGCATTGGATAATGCACATACCTCCTAGAGATGGTTGGTAAGTCAGAATCGTACTGCCAGTCCCCCTAATAAACCTATTCTAGGAAGTCCAGCTGTTTCTCTAATGGGGAAGGACAAATGGAGAGGTGGGTCTAGGATAACTTGTTGTGGCCAGCTAGCTGCAGGACAACTCGGGACAAGAGTGACACTAATATCGAAGAAAAGGTGGAGTAGAATCATTAAAGAAAAAATGCAAAAGGAGGTACAAAATGAAATGTGAATGACAAAAATATGTTTTAAATTATTTTAAATAATTAAATTGTTGAATTGTCCTGCAGTGAGTTGTCCCATGGCAAGTCAGCTGCAGAGAGTGGGCAGCAGTGAGTTGGCCACAGAGAATTGGCTGTGGCAAGTTGTCCAATTCCATAGAGAGATTGCAGCTTGTTCCTTAAGGAATTTGGAACACAGCTTTGTCACTTGCTTTTCCACTTTGGCACCTTCACCTGGAGGACATAAGGAAGATCTTCTTAATAGGCTGAGCCTGTGATCTTTCCTATATATCCCAAAAAAATGAGATGGGTGACAAATTAAAATAAAATAAAATAATAAAATAAAATATAAAATAATAAAATAATAAAATAAAATAAAATAAAGCTCAGTTGCACCTGATGAATGGGAACAACTGTGCTGCCCCACTCACTCACGCACTTAACTGTGATTTAGTGAGTTTATTAATATTCCACAGCTATTCTCTTCACAAAAAAACCAGAACTGTCCCAATCAAGTCCAGCTACAAGCAGATCAAAGTTAGTCCACAGAGCAATAGCCCAATAGCCCACAAAGCACTTGAAAGTTGCTCAAACAAAATAACTCCACTGGACAAACTTAAATCCACCAGGCAAAAATTAAATCCACACACAAGAGAGCTAATGGGCAAGGAAAGTTCAGAGTCTCCAAGGCACAATTCAATTCCAAACACAGTGTCAATCCAGAGTGAAACAGGAATCACAACGACCAAACACACAACTAGAAAACAAACATGTTGTTCCTAGCCTCCATCTGTCTGCTGTGATAAATAGCCAGCTTCTAGTGCAGCCCTTCAAGACAGATGGAGCTTTCTCCTCTTGAGTAGTCTGGCTGACCTTCTCTTCTCCTGCTTTTCTCTGCCCTATGTATTCTCAGATCAGATGCAGAAGAATCCTTCTCCTCTTCACTGGCCATACAACACTGCAAGCTTTCCCCAGCCAGAGCCTCAGCCAAATCCCTTCCAGATTGCCGCTCAGAACTATCAATAAACTCAGTTCTTGACATCCCAGGAACTGGCTCATCCTCCCTTGAGCTAACATCTGAGGAGTTATCTGGGGAATTGTCCAATTGGGAGACATCACAACAACATAGAATGGAGAGATGAGAACAGATGTTCATGAGGTGATGAAAGATAATGCAACTTGAAGCAGACAAGGACCTTTCTTTTCCAGGACAGTCTTGTCTTTTTCCAAACTCATTTAAAAGTTGTTCATTATGCTTTTCAAAGCTGTTTTGGGTTTTCAACCTCTTACAGTTTTTGCAATGCCCAATCAGAAATCCAAGCAAAAGCATCGAAAACTACTTTTAATTTCTCATATTATACAGAGAAGCAGTGGATTCATAAAAAATGCACATCTGCCTTTTGTCAAATACTGTATGTGCCTGGGATGTCTCAATAATCTATTATGGGAATCATAGTATAAAGCCTCATTTAGGTGCTGTCAGGTATCACAAGCACACCTGTGACAATTCTCCCCATCTCTACCTGAAACACTGAT